CAAGCGTGTTTCCCTCTGGATTGTTGTAACAAGGATAACAACTTAAGCGGCCCAAAACCTGTTATCACAGCAGCTGTCATTGTTTTGGGGTTAGGGGCATTGTTTTTGTTGTTTGTTTTACTGTTCTGTCCAAGGGTATCGAGGCATTCATGTGGGCCCTTGCGAGGGCTGCTATATGACCCGAGTTATACGATTGACCTTCCTCAGTAATACACTTTCCCAACCGTTTTCGGTTCAAACGCGGTAACTCCTGGGAATAGTCCTTACGCGAGCTACAATCACACAAATGCTTTTTCAATCATTTCAACCTGGAAAGAAAAGAAACGGTTGATCCCAATAGAACACGACCTAAATGTACTGAAACAAGTTTTGGCACGACAGCTATGAAGGGGTTGCTGTTGATGGAAGTAACGTTTATTATCAAAATTTGAATCCATTCATGACGGAGTACCATTCCCCTTCCCCTCTCCACCACCCCTGCGTTCTTGCTCGTTCAAATCCCCGAGGTTAATATTTGCGATCTCTACAACTTATGTGAAAAATAAAGTCAAAATAAAACAAAAAGATTCTGTTCCTGTCCGTTAAGTTAACATTTAAAAACGTATTTTCTTTTATGTTTCAACCCGCAGAGGATTGCTTGACGAAAAGCATTTGTTTCCATAGAAACTCCACTGCTCTCGTTAAAAACGTATTTCTAACGCATTCATGCCTAAAACGCACGTGTTCATCCGTGTTTCGCGCGTTCCACGCGAGCTTCTCGAGTCGCGTAGGCATTTACATTCCTGAGAATCAATGGAGTGTAAACACTTCTTTTTATCGGCTCACGATGAAAGAACTGTTGTTTTGAAAAAGCATTTTATTATTTGACAGACCAGTTGTCCGATTGTCTTGAAGAACAAAAATGTACAACTTAAAAGTGTGCTCATTTCTCTAAATCACGCTTACCACTGAGTGATCTGTATATCAAGTATATTCCATTCCAATCAATAAAAATTCCAACTTAATTATATTGCTTAAATGTTCAAAGCGACCCGCGTCTGTGTGTCCATAATCTTCACCTTTGCCTACATTTAGTCTGTGCTTTGGTCTATGCTTGGCTAATGATGCATATCTGCTTGGATCAACTCGAACATTGAAATTGGGAAAAAATAATCCTGTGCGCAAACAACGTTACATACAACACACGCTATTATTTATATTTAAGAGGTCTGTTGACAGAACGGATGTCCTAAAAAAACTCAGCACACCGTCTACAAAATTCAAAATTAGTTTCGCACTGAATTTGTTATGAATAATTTCTTCCTAAGCCAATATCTTCTACGTGCTCTTTCGCTTTTTTCGTTTGTGTTTTGTTATCACCACAAGCGTGCCGATCCGTTGACCCATTACGAAATACACTGACATGCTTTCCTGCTTCGTGAAATGAACAACTGTTATTATTATGATGTTCAGGTCTGAGTATGTCACGATTTCGAACGCTTGATCGGCCACCGCGTATCAGTTTCATTCGCATGCAATTTAAACGTCCGATGCTTCTGTTGTTCTGCTGTTCCACATACTGACTAAATCAGACACGTGCTCTTTCCTCTCGTGATCTTCGCCGTCAACTTGTGACTGACCAGTAACTACTTCTGATGGTTGTTCCGATAAAGAAACTCTTTCGTGTTCTTCGTGCGTAGACTGTAGTAAATCCTCGGTGGAATTCTCGGCATTTCCTGAGTGTTTCTCTCGATCTTCAGGTGCAGAGTTCAGCGTGTTTGTGGTCTCTCCACACTCCACCCATTGGTGATTTTTTTCCACTGAAGCGCTCGCACCACTGCCGATCCCGCTACTTTCGCTGTCAGAAGAGCTATCGCGCGCTCTAGATAAGCTACCCCCTCTTGCTCGTACCCCATCTAGCCAGCTTTCCCGTTTGTTCAAGATGCTCTCGGGGAGCGGCTGGTAGTTGAACTGCACAGGACTGAACCCAGATTTCAAGTACGCATTATTCGCCTTCCTCCTCATAAAGCTAGGCACACTCGGAGCCGCGGCATGACTTCCAGACTCGCTCTCCTCACTCGTGTCAGAGTGAACCGATCCCGAACGCTCGTGCTTTGGGCTATGGTCGAAGGAACGTTGTGAGTGTAACTCATGGCTGTGGAATGGCCTCGGAAGGCTGCCGGCGAACGAGTGACGGTAATAGTTTGGCGCGGTGCGTTTGTATTCTCTTCTTTTCACGACGACTTCGTCTGCCGCAGGTGCGCTCTCTTTTGCAGCGCCTTCTGAAGTTGTTGTATCGTCTACGACGTTCCCAATCCCATGTTCTTGCTCTTGAGGTTCACTCTCAAGCCTTTCTTCGCTTTGGACAGTAACAGGCTCCTCCGCTCGATCTTCCGCCACGGTGCCCACTAACTCAGCACTTTCCAAATCAGCTGTTTCTTTCTTTCCATCTGCATGATCTTGATCAGCACGTGCTTGAAGTTTACTATTAAGGTGGCTGTTCTCCGCCTCCAATTCTTCAATTCTCTTTCCGAGCCTCTCGACCTCAGCTTTCAGTTTCTCGTTCTCTTCTTTAACGGACGCAAGCTCGTTCTCCTGGCCATCTGAACGATCCATGGCCTTAGCTAATTGGATTTTCAGATCAGTTCTTTCGTGTTCAGTTTCCACAGCGCGCATTCGTAACCGCATTACTTCATCATCTCTTCCTCTGAGCGTACGAGTCGCTTTATCTCGCTCCTCCATTAACACTTCGCATAACTGTTGCAATTCTTCTTTTCTCTTCTTCACCGTGTCAAAATCATCTTTCGTCGGATCTACACTCACTCCAGAATCGTTTTTGTCTTCGTCTGGCACTAGGCTTGCATGACCATTCGTAAATTCGCTTTCGACGATCGGAGACGCGATCTCGTCGCCGTTACAAACATTTAAAGGCTCAATCTGTTTGATCTCTTGTTCTTCATGCGTCGAAGAACAATTCTCGATTTCTACCGCATCGTTCTCCGATCGAACTCCGTCGACGTCGGGTTGATATTCTTCGCATTTACTGTCGTTTTCTACCGATCTTTCATCCAACTCGTTCTCCATCTCCACAGTCGGCGCTCGCCCGTCTTCTACCGCCATCAACAACGTCTTTAGCCCTTTCTGATCGTGACAGCTCTCGCGGTATTTGCTTACACAATCAGCGTGAGGTTTGTTCCACTCGAGATCAGCGCTCTCATTGGCGCTTTCCGCAGTTGCGTGAAATTGCCGCCGATTGCGAACCTCTGTTAACTTATCCTTTCTTTTCTTTGGCAAATGACCGCGAAAAATCTCTTTCTTTTCTTCGCTGCGGTCTTGCAGAAGCGATTCGTCTGGGTTCAAACTCTCGATGTTTCCACGGTGGCGTCTTGCATAAACACTGTGGGCAGACTTGCTAGCTTTGTAAAGCGAAATGGCCGCCTTTTGTTCGTGTGAACGATACCACGACGAGCCGGTTATTTGTCTGTTTGGCTCTTGGCTAATCAGGTCGGCCCCTTGTTGATATTTTTCCAAATAATCCTGTAGATTTGTACTGACTATAGGTGCCTCTATCCTTGGCCTCGTACGAAGAGTTTTTGTTTCGTTCAGTTCAGCGTCAAAGGCATCGCATTTTTGTTGATAATTTCGCCTAAATTCCAGAATGCTGTGCTCAAGACTTCTTTTGTCTTTCGCGAGTGTTTTCATCATAACGTCACGCTTTTCAATCTCTTGCCGACTTTCGTCGAGTTGCACCTGCAGATCTCGCGCAGCCTCGCGCGCCGCGCGCGAGACAGCTTTCTCGCGCGAAATAATTGTTGTGATAAGGTCTTGTTGGTTTTCTAGCTCAGTCTTACAGGTGGCGTACTTTGTTTCTAAATCTGCAGCGACTTCGTGCAGCTTGCGGATTTCATTTGTGGACTTTTTGTCGCAAGCCTCCAGGATAAAGTGCTGATTTGGAATCGATCTTTCGCGATTTCCACCGTTTCTGAAACGTTTTCCAAATTCCAAATTGCTTCCTATATCGCTTTTCTTCGTTTCTTTTGACACAGCTGTCAATTCATTCTTATCTTGTAATAAAGTATCAATCTGGCTTTTAGACGTGGAAATATCTTCCCGTAATTTAATCAACTCTCCTTGGAGATATCCCTTATCGCTTTTAAGCTTTCTTCTCCCATTTTCGTTCTCATTAGTTTTCGCACCCTGTTGTGCTTTGCCATTTTTAACATACCCTCTTTTCTGCTTGATACTTTGGAGCGCAATTTCGCCATCGGTTTTTTTCTCTGACCTTTTCAACAGCTCTTGATGCAAAGATTCCTGTTTTCTCTCAAAACTCTGATTCGTGGTTTCCAAATCCGTAACTTTACAATCACGCCCCTCTAACTCACAAGTCCTATCACGGCAAAGAAAAATCTCTTGCTCGACCCTGTTCTCTATTTCTAAAGAGCTGCAACATGAAATCTTTAAACGTCCAACATTTTTCGACGCACAGAGCAACTCTTGCTGCACATCACACTTCCTTTTGTCGGTAGCTCGCTCCACAGTTTCAAACTTTTCAAGCTTCTTTTTCGCTAAATACAGCTCTTTCTCGAGCTGCAATGATCTCCGGTGTTTCGTCATGTCTTCTCTGGTGCTTGGCACTCACTATGTTTGCTTTTCCGTAAAAAATTCCTTAAAACAAGGCTGGTTTCTCAGCACGAACAACGTCTACTTTGACGAAATTAGCAAATGTTTCTTGATTTGCGGTTGACGATTACATGCCAGCAGCGCCGAGCGAAACCTATTCCAAGTTTGTCTTCGTCGCCGTTTTACCATTTTCCCGCCGTTTCGTGGTTTTCCCGCCGTTTTCTTGGTCACTCACCCCACGGGGACCCTTACCACAAGGGTTACCCGCATGGCGACTGAAATCGGCCTTTTATCCAAATCAACCTATCTTAATCAAATGAACCAGAGAACTGACCAATCGAAAATTCCAATATATAAGTTATAGCCCGTTTAAAATTAAGTAAAAAAGTTTTTGTGGTCTAAATTTCGCATAACACTTTTACTAATGTTACTCCCCTTTTGAATCCAATTATATTGGCATCCCCAGCTGTTTTTTGTACTTTATTTTGATTTTCGTCCCGTAAATTTTATTCCGCATACAATTTGTCTATAAATTCTTTATTCTGCTACTGCTAGAGGAAAATAAAGACAGATAGACAGGGGAACGTATCCAAATATAACACACTGATAAAACGTCGACAAAGGAAAGCAGCCCGTTTTTCAGCCTGACAGTCTTTCACGAATGACCTTATCAATAAGAAGTGATGAGGCTATAAATAAAGCCGAAATGAATACATTAAGAGATTTTAACGAACAATTTGTACCGTTTAATGTAAATCAAACACACATGTAGATATGGACACAAAAAACAGAGACGAAAACGAGAATTGAGTAAAAATTGCCTCAGACGGTTCTAACTAGAGGAGACCCCAAAATGGAGCAGAATATTAAAAGTTTGCCTTTGGAAATTCGTCTCATCTCTCCCCGAGTTAACCATCCCTGCATTTTGCCTTTTGAGCACCTCTTTCTTACTTTAGATAGCTCTCATTTCAAGTTTCCATCAATTTTAAGCTAATTGTATAAGTGGTTTATTTTTTTTTTAGCTTTTGCGGTTTCAAATTTTGCAAATCGTTTATGTTGTGGTCAAAAATTTGCTACCAGTTTGAATTTTTCCTGGCACAGTTAATCACATTTTAAATTATTTCCATTCACATAATATAAACAATTCCAGTCAACTGTTGACGATTACTATGCACGGTAGAAGAGTTTACCATTTTGATCGTAAAAAGAATATGCCAAAAAAGTTGGCTAATTTAAATTTTAAAAGACAACGTATTCATCAGCTATGTGTCAGAATCTAGTTTTCAAGAGCTGATTGAGCCCGCGGTTGACGTCTTTGACGTTGCTAGGTAACAGTGACGTATCCTGGTGAAGACAAGTTCATGAATCAATTTTTGTAATACTCGCGAAAACTTCCTGATTGGTCAATTTTATTCGGAATCTCTTCGGAACGTTTACGAGGTTTTAACTGAAAAGCCCGAACATTAAGACAGTTGCCCAGAGGGACCTGGACTACTGTAACATTTACTATTTTATTCTCTACTAAGATTCTCATTCTGATTGGTGGAACGTATCGTAGTGTGATCGTCCGGGTGTGGGTTGTTCTCTAAAGAGCTGGCGCCAGTTGTTCGAAGGCTGGATAACCCTATCCACCGACCGGATAAATCGCCATCCAGTAGATAAGTGTTCACAAAACAAACCACGCTATCCACTGGATAGGGATTTATCTTATGGATAGTGTTATCCAGCCTTCGAACAATTGTGGCCAAAACAATAGTCACCAGAAAGTCATTGTTTAAGTCAACGGTGTTAGAAGTCTGGCTGTTGAGACTGATCACTCAGTTTAGCCGTGATGTTATTGGCTGTAGGTTCGTAAACGGTGATTGGTCAGGTTTAGTGGGATTTGATTAGTCTGTTGTCGTAGTCGAAATCTCAATGAACTACAACTTACAGTTCTTTTCAGAACTACCCTCACCTGGACGATCGCGCTATACGAACTACTGAAACTCCTGTGTTCAAACCATCATATAAGATTTTCACTGAACTCTTTGTCGAGATTCGTGATTTTGAAGAGAGGTACATTTTTTCTCGCCCATGCAAGTCTTGCCTGGGACATGAAAGTAAATCTTCTAAAATGTTCAAATGTCGTTGTTTATAATGGTCAATGCGCTTAGCTACACCTAGCTAGTTCACAGGCTTGCCACTTAAACTGAAAGAAACAAACATCAACTAACCATAATAGGCTTAAAAATCCCAACTAGCGGGAGGCAGATCAGTTGGCTATTTACAAGAATGACCGAGGAGTTGAACAAGAGTCTACCGAATAACAACTCCAGTTTAGTGGTCAGAGCGGGACTTGAACCCACGACCTCCGGATTTCACGTCCGACGCCCTAACGACTCGGCCACACTCGGCCATCTCCCTCTGCCTCTACAGAGATCCGTATGGTGTTTGTTGATTGATTAAAAAAATTGTGCTCGAAATTTTAAGAAATTAACTACAACAATACGAGCAAAGCCTTTTCAAGGTTGAAACATTTTGTAGAGACGTCGCACCATACTCGCAGTTACCATTAAAAAGCACGTTCACACCCCTTCTGCACCTTTGCATTGTTGGAAACTGGCAGAATGCATGTAGCAGTTTAGAAGGGTGATGGCAACATTGAACAGGGTGGGGAGGGTGAACAAAGTGCCCACAATCGTGTGTATAAACAGTAAGCCACTTTTGAAATATTAATTGCGCGGAGGTTTAGCGGAATAAAACAACAAGGTTGAAGGATGAATACGTTATTTGTCTTGTTTTAATCCCTGTACTGTGTTTCTAACACAGCATTGAGAATTAAATATGTCAAAAATGGCCTATTACAATTGCCATTAGCTTGAAGCTTGCAATGAAGTATATTATAAAAACATGTTCCTTACCTGCTCCAAGCTTCATAGCTGTGTCAATGTCCTTTGCTGAGGCATCCCCTGTAAGCAAGCAGAGGTACATGGCATAAGAATTTTTCGTTATGAGCTCAGGTAATAAGAATCATTTAATTAAGAGATAGAACATTTCTTGAGTTACAGTACACGTGTGCATATATTGTTGTTCACTGAATTGCTTATTGCGTTTTCATGTTACGGTTGGACCTCATTGCCAATAAGCGTCCCCGCCCAACAGGCACCCTTCCTTGAGCTAAGGGCCGAAAGTAACTCAGTTCTGGGGCTAAATCGAAGCAATATGGTACCCCAGACCAACATACAGACATGCAACTCTCCCACCATTTCTGATTGATGTTACAGGTGATCTTGCCCTAGTTGATACAATTCTCACATAAAGTAACAAGTTTGTTACTGATGTGAAGATCAAGGCTACAGATAAATTAAAACTTAATGACAGCCCAGCCATGGTTACAAGAAAAAACCCTTAATAATAACTATTATCTTTCATTTTGAATTCTCACCTCTTTCAAGCATTCTGATGGACTCCATTATGTATGGAACAAGCAAACGATTCACAATAAAACCTGGGGTATCCTGAAAGAAAAGAGAAACAAAACACGATGGAATAAAATGTTGAGGAGTTGGTCATCATTATGAACAAATGCAACAAGGCTGATCAGCAGGACAAACCTTTTGAGGAAGTTCTAACAGCATCTATATGGAGTCTTTACCGCTAATTGTCAGGTCTGGGTTCAACCCCTAACTGGGGTCAAGATGTTGTACTCTACTCCCATAGAATAAAAAAGTTACTAGTTGTAAAGACATTGGTGGGCTGCATCAGTGGACACGTGAATCGCTTATTGCTATTTCTGAACTTGAAGTTGATAAAATCTGTTGTAACAAGTTTGCTATGATGAAGGGCTATTTTGTAATGTTAGCTTCAGAAACTTGTTACGGCACTTCATTTACCTTCATCAACTTCAGTGTTACTCTCACTTATTCTAAAGTTGTTATAAATGACCATAAATAAAAATAATCTCTCATTGGAGCAGCCTGACTTTCTTCCTATCCAGGGAAAGGCTTGGGTATTCCCAGGTTCTCCTGGTCCCTCCACATTACTATAACCAGAGGTAAGAGCTGACACATGGTTCATACAAACATTAGTAAGACCTTTCTTACCAATGACTTTAATTCAAGGACTTTTCAAGGATAAGCCAGCAATATTCAAGGATTGCTAAAAATCACATGCAAAAATGGGGTTCAGGCAGGGGTTGGGAGGGGGCAGAGGGGTACAAAATGTCTTTTGGGGTACACTGCTTACCTTGCAAGAGACTGGCACTTTGCCGAGCTCCTTGCTAAACTGAAATAGAGCATCAAACGTCTCATCTGTTGTTTCTGGAATACGAATAACCTTGAAATGACGAAAATATAAAATGTCAATGGTTATTAAATACGGAAGTTGATCAATTTATAAGACAATGAGAAGACAAACAAGGAGGGTTGACAATGTGGACAAATTGTCTTAATCAGATTCAGATTGACGTGACTTCTGGGGCCCGTTTCTAGAAGGTCCCAAAAAGTTTTCAACTCCAGGGCTGTTTTATTCATTTAATATTCTTGATACGAATAGTGGTTTCCTTCATGCAAGAAGTTTCAGGCATATACACCTCTCTGTCTTTAAATGCCGATAACTAAAAAATGGCTTTTCGGGCCTGCAAAGATTCCGGGGCTTTCGAGAAACAGGCCCCTAGTGCTGAATTATGCCACTTCATTAGAAAATTGCTTTGCATGGATAAAATTACTCTAAAAGTAATTAAAAATATTTCCTTTCATGACCAAACTGACAGGCCCTCAATGAATCAACTGTATGCACTTATTAAGGAATAATCATCCAACTTCGTACAGCATTAGACATGAACAAAAGAAGTGCTAAATATCTTAACAAACCTCAACCAGTTTCATCAAAGGAACAGGATTAAAAAAGTGAAGTCCACCAAATCTGTCCTTTCTCTTTGTGACGCTTGCTATTTCACCTATTGGCAAAGAAGAGGTGTTGGACGCAAAGATGGTGTGACTGAAAAACAATTAACAAGAAAAAAATTAAATCAGTTTGATCTATCTTTAGGCCCTGATAGAGCGTAATGAAGTGGAATGACTATTGTCTTTCTTTCAATGAAGTTAAAAATGAAAGTTTTATGGGAGGTACAATAACTTACATGTATTAGATAACAAATCAAATTATTCTCATTTTTTGATTGGTTCTTATTATGACTGATTGAAGGAGTTATGTATAGATGGAGTCATTAACAGGGGTTTCATTAATTAATGTTTTCAGCAGGGTGGCAACTGGTTTTCACAGGCGGGCAAAACTATTAGAACTGAACTTCTTTGTAAGAAAAACTTTCTGCTAGATGGTCAAACCAGCTGGGCAAAATCATCCTCACAGGCGGTCAATTTGCCTGGTGCCCGGCCCTTCATGAAACCCCTGCATTAACATTTTTTGTGTCTTTTTGTGTCTTTTTTCACAGAAGATGTCAAATGTGGTACAAACATCAGTGACATACTCACCTAACAGCTTGTGTGACAAAATTTTGTCCACGTTACACATTTTGACTTAATCTCTGATCAGTTAGTGAATAGACACAAGGCAACATGGAATCTGTTTGCTAAATGGTTATTGAATGCCAGGTTCTAGAAAGAGTAATCTGGGTTTGAACTCTGGTCAATTTCTTCATAACCCAGGGGCCAGTTGTTCAAAGGTTGGACAACACTGTCCAGTGGATAAATCACTATCCAGTAGATAGTGTGGTTTGTTTTGTTAACACTTATTCCGTGGATTCTGATTTATCCTGTATATAGCATCAACCAGCCTTTGAATAACTGGGACCAGGCCCGGGTTGTTCGAAAGATAGATAGTGCTATCCACCAGGTAAATCACTATCCAGCCAATAGCGTGGTTTGTTTTGTTAACACTTATCCACTGGATAGTAATTTATCTGGTGCATAGTGTTATCCAGCCTTCGAAAAACCGGGGCCTGGTGGATAGATGAGTACTGGTGAACTAAATACTAAGAGAAAACCCTGAGATATTGCAAATTTCTTCGAAGACACAGTCAGAAACGTAATCCATGTCGAACACAGGCAAATCTTGAACGTGTATAAACTGAGAACTGAAGTATTTTGCAAACAAATTCCTTCCCTGGTAGAGAAGCAAAATTTACCTCAAGAAGTGCAGTGACAGATATCCCCACCGTACCCTCGGTATTACCAAACAAACAAACCAATCATATTGATTTGCGCCCAAGGTAACCAGAGGTTTTTCTTTCTTGCCACTTCACAACTCGTGTTTTCACCGTTTCGTGGCTCTCCCACAGCTCTCTCATGCAGAGAAAAATCAAGAAAAACCTCTAGGACCAGGGTAGTAAACAATCGGAGTATGATCTTTAAAAGTTTAATTTCACAGGCCATAGTTCTTTTCCTTAATGGGAGGCATTGGCATCCTAGCTTGGTGAAGCCTGTCTGAATTACGAACATGTATACTGAGACTCTACAGCTTCATTGCACAATGATTTTGAAATCAAATTTTCACTGCATTTATCTATAATATTATGTACATATACCTCAGGGACCGCGGAGACCATTTAAGAGCGGTAGGGCTAAAAACAAACGTTAGGTCAGTGTTTTGCCATTTATCTTGCATTTGCGTGCCATCTGGAGCCCTAGAAAATAACTCCCAGCAATAAACGTGGTAGGGCTGTAGCCCTACCAGCCCTTCCCCCTCCACAGTCCCTGTACCTAAGTTTGATAGATATTATTGGCTCCCTGTAAATATAGTACACTGAATGGAATAAATTTGTTAACTAGCTATTTAGTCCATGACTTAATTGATACCTGGGTGCTGCTTTGTCAAGCTCTGTAAAGAGTTTGTGTTTGGTGCGCATGTTTTCCACTATGGCTTCTATTAACAGATCTGTTTCAGCTATGTTGGTAGTTGGCTCTGTTGCGATATGTATCCTTGACATAGTATCGGTGACAAACTGCTTTTCACCCTGTTATCAAAAAATAGGTAT